AAAATTCTTTCACTCTTATAAAAGCCTAAGTTGGTTGTCATCAATTACCAAAAAGGGGGAGATTGAAAGTGCATTTGCCCCCTATGTGGGTTTTGGTGTATTGATGACATCCAAATTTGGGACTAGTGAGATCTTAATGAGATACATTGCAGCTTTAGTCCCTTGAAAGTTTTAAAGAGTTGATCTAAGATGAAATGGTATCCCTCAATTCTTAAAGTATAAAAGGTGGGCGAACTCAAAGCGGATCTCCAAAGTTTATGTTTCTCTTTTTGAGTTTAGGTTCGCTGTACTATAAAGAGGGATGCAAGTTTATGTGGTCTGAGAAAGATAGAGTGCTCAAGTATAAACATAAAATCAAAAGAGAGACACTCTAGCACTTCACGAGTATGTAGAATATTTTTCCGAGACGTTTGGCATCAGAAGTCCCAACTCAGGTTGAAAGTCTCAACGTCCAGTTACTTAGCCTATGTGGTGACTATGGCTGTCGAAAGTCCTGACGTGAGTCAGAACTCCCGATAGTCGGAAGTCTTGACTTAGGTCGAGAGTCCCGACACCTGGACACTTGGCTGGCCTGCTGACCCACTCGTCGAAAATCCCGACGTACGCCGGGAGTTCCGACATTGACCTTCTCGTAGTGACTTTGACCTAGCTATGAACAATGTTTTCTATAGAGGTCGGAAGTCCCGTGATCTACGTCGGAACTTCCGACGTAGATCTGAACAGTTAGATTTCTACTATGAGTATAAATAGCCCTCTCCTCTCTTCTAACCGTTACTCACTCATTCATTGCAACCTACTCATGGCCAAAACAACTCTCAAGCATTCAAGGCTCCCCTCTCCTCTCCCCTTTGCTACTAACTTTGATTCCCCCAAGGATTTGAGTGATAGGAGAGTGGATTAAGTGAGAAAATCACTTTGGTAAGCTTGAGCACTTGATTTCTTTGTCAAGCCAGTTGGATTTGCGTCTATTACTCTTGGGGCTTTGCCTCTAGCCGGCTAGGCGTCACCCAAGAGCTTCTATCTTGTGGAAGATTCTTGGAAAGTTTGTATTACCCTTGATTTCTTAGTGGAAAGCTCAAGTGACCTTTGTGGTTGCCTTGAGAGAGGCAAGGAGGTGAAAGAGACTCCGACCTTTGTGGTCACCTCAACAACGAGGACGTAGTAGCTCCTTTGTGGGGTTGCCGAACCTTGGGATAAATCCATGTGCCCCGCGTGCTTGTTGTTGTTATGATTTGCTCGAAATTACTTGTGTTTGTTTGCCTCTCTTTCTCCCAAGCTTCATTTTAGGGTTTGGACTCGATCTATGATTTGGAGGCATTTCGGCATTAAGGGAGTGACCCAACATCTTTATCAAACCACTAGGAAGTGGGGTTGTAAGATTATTTATCCGCAAAGTTAAATTTGGCACTGGTTTTGTAGTTCACGTAGGCGTCGGGACTTCTAGCAGTTTGTGTAGAACTTCTAACGACGTAGGGAGTTCTGACCCAAACTGTCGGGACCTCCAACAGTGGCTGACAAATTTGAACTTAGCATTTGCAGTAAATTTTTAGATACGCCTATTCACCCCCCTCTAGCCATTGTTAGATCTTTTTAGAGTGTAGTCTGTCTTTAGTTACACCAAATAGTCATGGTTTACACAATAAGTATGTGTTGTAGTATTGTTGTTATATATAATTCGTGGCCAGACAACATTAATATTGATGGTTTCAACATCCGTATACTATAGATGGCCATCGGGCCGTGCCAGCACGGCACGGCACGGTGCCTCGACGGGCCGTCGTGCCTGCCGTGCCGTGCCTAGGTCGTGCTCGTGCCTGGCCAACGGCCCATGGCACGGCCCGTGGGCCGTTTTGCCGTGCCGTGCCGGATGAGACAGACAGACACGGATTAGAATCGACGGCGAGGTGGTGGAGGAGGAGGGACTGCCATGAACACTCACATGGTTCACCGAGAGGGGAGTGAGGGAGTGAGAGTAGAGGAAAAGGAGGGAGGAGGAGATGGTGGGGAAGCAGGGACCAGGGAGGAGCATCGGCGTTGTCCCCGCTCACTGGTGACGGGGAGGACGGACGAACGTCGGCGTCAGCGGCGGTGGATCTGGATCGAGAATGGGAGAGCGGAGCGAGAGCGAGAGACTGAGAGAGCCGCGGCGGGGGAGAGGATTAGGTTAGGGTTTAGGAGGGGGATGCGCCGTGGCCGAACGACTTATATACGACGAGGGGAGAGGGGTGCGTGGGGTGGGCCAGCGGCCTGCCTTTGTGGCTTCATGGGCCGTTTCTCCGACCAGGCCGCCATCGAGCCGCATCATGCACCATGCCGTGCCCGTGCCGTGCCACGGGCTAGGCCAGCGGCCCAGGCACGGCCCGATGTCTCGGGCCGGGCCGGCATGGGCACGGCGACCACCGGGCCGGGCCAGGCTCGGGCCGGGCCAAAACAACGGGCCACGGGCTGCATGGCCAAATATACCGTATACTATATCATTGGAAAGGTATATTATGATGGCTTCGCCCAGGAACCACTCAAACACACACACACACCAACAATCTTGGCGAGAGGTAGAACAAGCACAATAGACACACTGTTTTCCAACGATGAACGCCGCGGCGACAAATTCGCCTGTATCTTGGCTACATATTCACTAGACTTGGCAATTGAATGCAGAGGAGCATAGGGGCTACTTGTAGACAAGGACATGCCATGGAGCACATCTCCATGGCGGCCTAGCTTCATGCCATGGTCCACAGGACCCACTCAGCAACACCGTGAGCCACTTGCTCATACGTACAATGCGGCTTCCACCATGCAAATCCGCGCCATGCACACCACTACTCCAACTCTAGACTCAGCCTTGACCATTGCATGCCATCCCTGGATCCTAACCCAAAAATAGCCGTCATGCACACCACCACAACACAGCACACATGCACATGCCATGGACACTATGTGTCGTGGTTTATTTCTAACAATCACCCCCTAAACCATGACACCCCCGTACACTGAACCTATAGGAGTGTCATCTCGTTGTTGATGTCGGTGCCTTCCTTGCCGTCGTCGTGCTTGTCGGTGTTATGAGGACATCACAGCTCAACATGTGTTGAAACATGAAGAAGGCTCATTATCTAGCACAAGTGATTATATTCATGGTCCACCTACATGAAGTCATGCCAAAAAGATACAAGAGTAGGTGAATTCATTCCTAACTGATTGTAATTTTAACACTTCTAAGAATATTATACTACCTAAATGTCCTATCTTGATGATGCTTAGATTTACACATGAAGACGTTGAAGGCACATGGCCGAAGGATCAAGACACGGTGCTACAAAGTAGCTCCATCAAAAAAGTAACACGGATGGACGATCAGACCTAGGGAAAAGTAACGCGGATGGCAAGTAGCACGGGTGACCGAACCTAGGCAAAAGTAACGCAGAAGTTCAATAGTCTACCAAGGACAGAATGTGGTATAACTTCCCATGCAAAATGGTACCAATCTACAAAGTTTCGTGGTGCATGTTGCACATGGCTAGAAAGCTCTTCGAGTCTACTTTCACACCCAACAAATGGTTCATCATTTGGACTTCCCAATTCGGAGTTATGGCCAGATTAGTGGAGACTGCTCTGGAGGCCAATAATCACGCGAGACCACTTCGAGAATCCATCTTGTGGTGACATTTCACATTGCCTATCTTTAGAAACTCCATTTTGTTTTCACACCCAACTAGGAGGGTTGTTCCTAGTATAAATATCCCCTGCCTCTAAGCTATTAGGAGCCTTTTGATGAATTGATAAACCCCTCATATTGCAATCGAGCTACCGAGTGCCTTACTCAAACCTTTGTTCTTCCTTGTTCTTCTTGGACTTATGAAGTGATCCCTCTGCGTTCCCCTAGTTCATGCTCTACGGTTTCTAGTACGTCTGCACCGTTTTGTGTGGATTAGTTCTGGATTGTGATTCTACGGTCGTTCAGAGATCGAGTCGAAGTCTTTGTGGTTTCGGTGTCTCTCTCCCCATTGCTTAGTCGCATCCAACCTTTGTCAGGTATAAAACTAGTTATTCCGCTGTTCGTAGGAAGTTATCTTTGATTTGTGACCTACTGTCGTGAAAATTGGGCCACCCTCAAGGATGTTCCTTATCAACTGGTATCAAAGCTTTCGTTGTCACGGTAGGTCTCACCATCATCCACATATTTACCTTTGATTTATCCACCATTTCTTACTATTTTTGTTCATCTCCTAAAGTCCACTGAAAAAGCCATGAAAAAAATCCTATAGCCTTTTGGCGGTACTGCTTCCTTTGTGTTGTTTTGTTCATCAAGTTGCCAGTCACCATCTTCATATATATTCCCTTGTGTTTCATTTGTTATTCGCACCCCTGTTAGTATTAAAAAATCTCTAAAAAAGAGAGAAGAAAGAAGAAAGAAAGATTCAATAAAAAAAGAGAAGTGAAAAGAATTGAAAGTAGGGGCTGTGTTGCGGGTTGTATCATTGCAAATTTTAGTTTATATATTCAAGTTGGTGGTAATCTCCATAGCAGCAACTTCATATCTTTTGAACACATCAAACCACTTGGGTTGCAGTACCGTAGCCTCCCTTGATTAGCCACCTATAGCTCCACCAAAATCTGAAATTGGGACGTTCGACTCATAATCCTTGCGACCTCTCAATCACTTCCGTTGAGCTGCTACACTATCACACTCACTGTCCTTGAGAACAAGCAAGAGCATTGGTAAGTAAGAGGTGAGGTTGTGTGATTCCACAAATTTACCTATTCCACTTTTTCTTGCATAAGTTCTAACATGTCTGGATCCAATTCGAGTTTTCATGGTGGTCGATATGGAGAAAAAGAACCACCAGTCTCGCGGGCTGAGTTGCTCCAACTACAAAACTCACTAGTGGAGGCCATGGAGAAGATGTTCGATGAACATCTTCTTGTGGTACGTGGTCGGGCTAAACAACATAGCCCAACCAATTCTCTTGGTGGTCTATTTGGCCATAGTGGATAGCATGGGGGACTTGCTCGTGGGAGTAGTTTTTGCCTCCGTGTGCTCATTGGCAATGAAGTTTATTATGTGTCCACCAAAAGAAAAATTGAGAAAGAGACACGAGAAAGGTCCTATGGACAACAAAACCCATGTGAGAAAGAGTGCCATCAACCAAAATTGAGTGTGAGAGTTCAAAATGAAAAGACGAGAGATTCCACCATATGTGAGGAGGAGAGCCACAAAATTCTGTGGGAGAGAGATACACAAAAATTGAGCGAAAAAGAAGATGAATCATGTGAGGAATTATTTACTACTAACATGATAATACCTTCTTCTAGTCTTGTTCCTTGTGTGATGCAGGCTCATGAAGAAAAAGATGTGGTGAATTATGATCAGCCCCCAATATTCGATGAGGAAGATCAAGTGATGGCCATGGACAGCAATACGTATGCATATATTGCTTCACAAGATGTTGAAGTGATTGTGCATCAAAACCTATGTGAGAATGAGAGTCACATTGCCAGACTGAGAGAGAGTGAAAACAAAAGTGAGTTGTGTGATTCCACCAACTATGAGGTTGAGAGCATAAAAAATACGAGTGTGAGAGATACACCACAAAAAAATAGAGAGTTAGAATGCAAGTCATGTGGGGATATTTTTGAAACTAACACTCTCATCTCTACTTCTAGTGTTGTCTTTCCAAATGTGCGGGTTTGTAATGAGAATAAGGAAGAGATGGCTACTCATGACAACTCCATACTTGTTGAGAGAAGTGAGAATGTAGCCATTCATCCAAACCAATTGTGTGCTGCCCAAAACATGAACCATGACAAGAAAAGTGGTAAGATTTCAGAAGCGTCATCCATGATACTTGCACTACCACAAAGTCTAAAAGGTAATGAAAATAATTCAGATCTGAGTTTTCAAAATAAAATGGTGAGCAATTATGATGAAACACATGGTTCAAATGTAATTGACCCTACACAAATTATTTATGCTGATTTGGTAGATTCACAAGTTCATACATGTGCTAAAATTTTGTAAGTTGTTAACCAATGTTCAATCACACATGATCTTTTCTATGCTTTGATATGGTTCATATACATGATACTTTGTACTCATATATCTGATACTTTGCATGCAAATAAACTTGGCAATGTACAAATAAATACTCATGATGATTTCTTTGGAAAAATATATCATCCTTCATGTGTGGGCTATGTCATGTTTGATAAATGTGTTGAGATCAATAAGATACTTTAGAATGTTTTTTGAATATTATCCATGAAATCTTTGAATACTACCTATAGTTGCAAGTTTACATTCAATTTGATTGGACATCATGCTACAAGTAAATTCTATGTTTGTGCTATTTGCATAACTTGTGACAAGCTTGCTAGTTTGGAGATAAATAGACTTTGCAACATATCTTGTGAACCATATTTTTCTGAATTTGAGATGAAAAGATTGTTTACTAATTTCTATACAGAACAAAGAATGTTGTTTCCTTTTTCTGATGTTCTATCAAAAGAAAGAAATCTTGTGCAAACATGTTCCATTCATTCACCTAAATTTTTTTCATCATCATCTAGAACCATTGAGATTGATAGGTACTTCTCTGACCCATGCAATAAGAATCTCAAGAATGTTTCATTCTTATCTTTTGATATATGTGATCTTGCAAAGATAAAACATGATAACATGAATCAAATGATTGGGTTGGAGGAAATTTTATGCTCCCATCTGTGAAGCTATTTGAAGGTTCTCCAATGTTGAAAGAAAATTTCTTACAAAATGGATTAATGTGAATATGAATTATAAAAAAGCAAATGGACGAAATAAAATTAAAGATTATTGGAATTGTCATGTACATCCACCCTCTGTTTTGTCTAGGCTGTTTTCAGGTAAACAAAAGTCATGGATGACTTTTCTTAAAGGGAGGGAGGATGATGAGACCATGCCAAGGACATCAACACTCACCGATTGTTCTAAGCATCCATGCAAGGTGAAAGCTATAATTAATTTCAGACCATTTAGGTTTCCACCTACAAGGCTACTACTTGGTTTATATGATTATAGATTCAAACACCTTGTTGTGATGGAAGAAGAAGATTGTGATGTTATCACAACACTACAAGTTGATGGCCTAGCACAATTTTTTGGACCACAAGAGTCAGAGTCGAGGATGACTCATTTTCAAGAGGGGGAGGATGATGAGGACATCACAGCTCAACTTGTGATGAAACATGAAGAAGGCTCACTATCTAGCACAAGTGCTTATATTCATGGGCCACCTACACGAAGTCGTGCCAAAAAGATACAAGAGCAGGTGAATTCATTCCCAACCGATTGTAATTTTAACACTTTTGAGAATGTTATACTACCTAAATGTCCTATCTTGATGATGCTTAGATTTACACATGAAGACGTGAAAAGCACATGGCCGAAGGATCAAGACATGGTGCTACAAAATAGCTCCATCGGAAAAGTAACACGGACGGACGACCGGACCCAGGGAAAAGTAACACGGATGGCAAGTAGCATGGGCGGACGACCGGACCTAGGAAAAAGTGACGCAGAAGGTCAACAGTCTGCTAGGGGCAGAATGTGGTACAACTTTCCATGTAAAACTGTACCAATCTACAAAGTTTCATGGTGCATACTGCACATGGCTGGAAAGCTCTTCAAGTCTACTTTCACACCCAAGAAATGGTTTGTCATTTGGACTTCCCAATAAGGAGTTATGGCCAGATTAGTGGAGACTGCTCTGGAGGCCAATAGTCACGCGAGACCACTTCGAGAATCCATCTCGTGGTGACCTTTCACATTGCCTATCTTCAGAAACTCTATTTTATTTTCACACCCAACTAGGAGGGTTGTTCCTAGTATAAATATCCCTTGCCTCTAAGCTATTAGGAACCTTTTGATGAATTGATAAAACCCCTCATATTGCAGTTGAGCTGCCGAGTGCCTTATTCAAACATTTGTTCTTCCTTGTTCTTCTTGGACTTGTGAAGTGATCCCTCTGGGTTCCCCTAGTTCGTGCTCTACGATTTCCAGTACGACTGCACCGTTTTGTGTGGATTAGTTCTGGATTGTGGTTCTGCGGTCATTCGGAGATCGAGTCAAAGTCTTTGCGGTTTCAGTGTCTCTCTCCCCGTCGCTTGGTCGCATCCAACCTTTGTCAGATATAAAGCTAGTTATCCCGCTATTCGCAGTAAGTTATCTTTGATTCGTGACCTACTGTTGTGAAGATTGGGCCACCCTGAAGGACGATCCTTATCATGGTGCCTTCGCTCGAGTGCTCCTTGCTGTGGCATTGACGACACCGATGCGCATCCACGACCGCCTTGACTCCACCACAGCACTCTACCACCATGCGCAGCTTGTCGACGAGCTCCTCTAGCAACATGGTCAACATCTAACCTGGCTCTAATACCAATTGATGGCTTCGCTCAGGAACCACTCTAACACACACATGCCAATGATCTTGGCGAGAGGTAGAACAAGCACAATACACTATTTTTCGGCGGCAAATGCCACGGCGATAAACTCGCATGTATCTTGGCTACATATTCACTGGACTTGGCAACTGAATATAGAGGAGCACAGAGGCTACTTATAGACAAGGACATGCCATGGAGCACACCTCCATGGCAGCCTACCTTCGTGTCAGGATCCACAGGACTGCTCAGCAACACTGTGAGCCACTTGCTCATACAGACAATGTGGCTTCCACCATGCAAATCCACGCCATGCACACCACTACTCCAACTCTAGACTCAGCCTCGACCATTGCCTGCCATCCCTGGATCCTAACCCAAAAATAGCCATCATGCACACCACCACGACATGGCACACAGACGCACACACCATGGACACTATGTGTCGTGGTTTATTTCTAACATATCAACCTAATTTCAAACGCAATAAGCAATCATCATTTGGACATTTGAGCAAAGAGTTAGAACCATTTCAGTGGAAGCTATAGGGGATGTTGGTGGCTGCGAGAGAACCAAGAAGACTCCTCACGTAGTCCCCTAAGATGAACTTCCATGTACTTTCATTTATATTTATGTTCACAACCAACTAGGAGGGATATTCCTAGTATAAATACCATATGTAATTCATCATTTAAAGGGAGTTGATATATTGATTTGTTATGAGAATTGAGCATGACTCTTCTTTGAGAAATCCGTAGAATAACCTCCTGTGTTAGTTGATCTTGTTGAGTGATCTTTGAGTGATCGAAGATTTATTGTCCATAGAGTAGCCTCCAAGTTATGACCATTTAAATAGAGGTATTCAAATACTGCCATTTCAGACAAGTGTTTTTCTTACCACCATACCAAATGGTGTTTTTTTTCTAAAAAATATGCTTGGATTGTTTAGGTAGCATGGTTGTTCTTGAATTCTTAGTTTTTTAATGTTTGTGATGTAGAAAAGAAAAGTTCTATTGTAGCCAAATCTTAATTAGGAAATATGTGTCGTAGGTTAATGAGGGTCACAAATATGTTACTACCATATCATTTTGATTTTAAATTGTTTACGAACTAGTGTTGCAAGTTTTAAATTTTGAAACATATTTGTAATGTGTGTTGGTTAAACTTATCATCTTGAGTCTGCTTATGTAGGATAGAAATTCCATTGTTATTTGGTAATGTCAAGTATGAATATCATTCCATGATCGAAAGAGACATGACATTTGAGAAGTAATACAAGATAGTCAAAACCCTATTACTTCTATGGTACAGGATGTAAAACACCATTTTGTGGTATCAAAAAGAGACTGCATGCACGAACATCACAAGCCTTGGCATTCAACTAATGCAACTGAGCCCTTACTAATAGTTGCAAAAGGAGTATTAGGATTGCCCTACTGCATAGTTCCAGTTTCTAGCAAATGGGGTTGGTGGAGATGGAGGACCCGTGTTACGTTAGTACGAACACCTGCAATCTAGATCAATACAATGGGGCTCATCCATATGCTAATGGCCAATTCCTCCTCCTGAGTGTCCTCCGGTATGGGCATTATGTCAAACTCCTACTTGAGATAAAAAAAAATAACGGTTCAACTGGTAGTGGATGTGTTGATGGTCGTTATGCCAACATACCTTGGAATAAAAGGAGATAAGCATTTCATGAGCATATTTTATTTAAAATAACAAGTTCCACATGTATATGAAGTTTCATATGTGTAGGAAGCATTTCTGGTAGAGGTGGGGACAGTGGGCTAAACCCTAGGTCGCCCGACCCCCTGGTGGCTCCCATGACCCTCAATCCTGGTGAAGATGAAAGAAACACACACTTGAGCATTTCTATCCCTTGGATGAGACATGTGTTTTCTATGAACGGTCGGATTGCCATGTACATGGATTGAAGGGCCCACAAACTGAAAAAAAAACTTACTCCACTTCTACCCAACAGCGAGGAAAAGACCTTATGACAAGTGGACCCAGCTGCACACTAAAGCGGGAGGTCCCATGGGTCATGTGGGGGGGGGGTCGGGGGGTCAGCCAACCCATCCGCCGTCGCCCGACCTCCTCGGCAGGGTTCATTGCCTTTCCTCATCAACATGTAAATAAGCACATCAAGGAGTGATCTCCTACGTCAGTTTGATGGCAGTTTGATCTAGTGGATGGTGCTTGGAGCACTTGGATCCATGGGTCTGCCTCTAATCACTATAAATAGAGGGTACCCCCTCACTTCCAAGACACACAAGAAGAAAGAGAGAATCTCCACAGTTTTCTTGTGGTAGTTTGCGGCTTGCCCCACTATTTATCTTGTGGCAGTTAGCAGGTGGTGATAACCCTATCTGATATATGTATTCCACCACATTTAGGCAAGTTCTTAAAGCATAGCTCCACCACTGCAAGGAGCCACAACACCCTTCTCATCCCTTTCTACTATTGTTTCTCATCTAGCCAACCCTGTGTGTAATTGTGTATGAAAATTGTTCTTGCTTGATATAACTTGTCCAACTAAGTTAGAACCATAGAATAGAGATAGATCTTAGAAAACATTGTGCTCACTCGTCCTCCCAC